AAAGGGGTGGGAGGGGTGGGGGGGTCTCTCTTTTTATGGAGGATTGCTTGCAACTTTTGAGTGGTTTATCTGTAGTGTGGAAGACTATGTTCTCCTTTCACAGTCTGAACATATAAAAAAGATATACTATTCCTTTTTTTGTTTAAGCATTATATATATATATATATATATATATATATATATATATATATATATATATATCACTGGCCCAACTAACTAATTCGGTTTCCCCTAGGAACTACTTTATTGAGAGTTTCATCATTCCTAGGACTCAAACTCGAGACCTCTTCTTAAAGATAAACGGATTCCAATCATCCCACCACACCCTTTGATGATAGATGCTCACAATTGAAACGTTTAGGTCAAAGAAAGAGAATTGTAAAGATCCAATTTTTCAGGAAATATTTTCCAAGGAAAACATTTTCCTTCGTACCAAACACACCCTAAGTGGCCAATATTATGTGACATATCAGCTAGTCATTGTGTGGGAAGACCGAAATTGACATTAGAGTTGTGGATATTGAAGTCTAAGATTTGAAAAAATGTATATTTAGGAAAAAGCCTAGGTACATTAGAATTGATCAGGAAAAAACTAATAATGTGGTGCAAATTTTGCAATAAACTCTTTGTTCCAGTTATGAAGCACTTTCAGTAAATGGTATTCTTTAGTTCCTTTTCAGAGTTAATAAATTGGATAGCAAGAATCATACTTTTATTGTTATTTGGACGTTGTATATGGTCTCATTTCAAAATTATTCATGTAAGTGCCAAACCTGGCTTTCCTAGTAAAATTTTCAGATGGAAGTATATTTTTGAGAGACGGACTCTTGGAGTTTGATAAATTGTCACAACTGGCTTTCTGTCGCACTTTTAATTTGTTTCTCTTTTAGGTAGAGTTGGAAATAATGAGAAAGAAAATGTGAATTAATGAATGAGATACCTAATGCACCAATTAAGAGGAATAGCCATTTTCTAGTTCAAGGACTACTAGCGATTGAAGGTCGTTCGTTGATACATATGACTTTTCAAACTTCCAAAGTATATTTACATCCCTTTTCTTCAAGACATTGGGTACGGACGGACAATTTTCTGTATCAATATCAAAATAGAAACAACTCTCGAATCTACATGCTCGCCAAAAGATTGCTCCATCTATAAAAATACCCTTTCTCAAGTGCACGTCCTTTAGAGAATTTGAAAGTTGACCTCTCAAACGCCTGGTCGGAAATTTGGAGACAGACCCTTGAGTTTAAAGGTTTCAAATTGAGTAGGACTAAGACAGAATACGTGGAGTGCAAGTTCAACGGCATTTCGGGAGAAGTGAACATGGACGTGAGGCTTGACTCTCAAGTCATTCCCAAGAAAGAGAGCTTCAAGTACCTGGGGTCGGTTATCCAGGAGGATGGGGAGATTGATGAGGATGTTACGCACCGTATAAGGGTGGGGTGTGTTGAATGTTGGCCAGTCAAGAATTCTCATATCCAGAAGATGAAAGTTGCAGAAATGAGGATGTTGAGATGGATGTGCGGGCACACTAGGCTGGGTAAGATTATGAATGAAGATATCCGGGGGAAGGTGGGCGTGGCTCCCATAGAAAACAAGATGCGGTAAGCTAGGCTTAGATGGTCCGGGCACGTGTGGAGGAGAAGCATGGATGCCACGGTTATGAGGTGTGAATGGCTGGCCTTGACGAGTGTGAGAAAAGGTAGAGGGCGGCCAAAGAAATATTGAGGAGAGGTGATCAGGCAGAACCTAGTGCGGCTTCAGATTTCCGAGGACATGGCCCTTAATAGGAAGTTGTGGAGGGTGAGCATTAAGGTTGTAGGTTAGGAAGTAGGAGGCTAGATTGTGTTTGTCTTAGGCTGCTAGTGGCTTCAATTGTGTCCATATTACTTCGTTAGGACTGCAGGTTGGGTCATAGGAGACTAGTCCAATAGTGTAGTATCTTGGGGTGCTAGTGGCTCTTACTGTATCCATCTTACTCTATTGTGCTAGTCCAATAGTGTAGTATCTTGGGGTGCTAGTGGCTCTTACTGTATCCATCTTACTCTATTATGTTTGTAGTACTATACCATTGTTATTGCTGCGTTCTCTCTATTTTCTGGTTATTACGTTTTTTATGTTATCTCTCTTTCTTTCTTGCTTACTCTGATATAACTATGCCTGTCTCTTTTCATCTTCTTTAGTCGAGGATCTATCGGAAACAACCTCCCCACTCCTTTGGAGTAGGGGTAAAGTCTGCGTACACACTACCTTCCCCAGATGGGTTGTTGTTGTTTTACCTCTCAAACGCCTCTTACTTTCATCTGGAAGTTTTCGTTTGGAAAGCGATGCTTGACCCTATATTAACTTCGAGATGAGGTGATATAAAATGATTGAAAGCCAAACTCATGTCTAGAAAATATAAGTACTACATACAAGGAAAATTTGCAATACACAGTAACTATTCTGAAGAAGCCAGCTACAACTAACAATATAGACAAAACACTTAGTATAATCTGTACCAGCAGCATCATATGATTCTAGCTACTTTTTCTACTGTAATCAGAAAATCAAAATCATCGAGGCCAATGATAGGTGACCAAGAGGGCTGTACAGGTATGAACATCGGAGTGAGAAGCCTACCCCTTTGATGCAAATGAAAGACAACTTTTCAATTGAAAAGGCTCCAAGAAAGGACCAAACTCATCACCTAGTCCATTTCCTTGTGTAGAGACATAAATATCAGATGCTTGTATTCTGCATTTGTCATGCTGTTCAACATCTTGGTTCTTTGTGTCCAAATTCCTACCGCACTCGCGTTCCATACTATTGAGTCTACTCTCAGGATGGCAAGGAGAATCTTTTGTAGAAATACTGTTAGAACAGGAGCGCAAGGGACTTGCGAAGTGGTACCAAGGACTGCCAGAATTCACACCTTCCAATACGCTCAAGGGACTCATGAAACTCTGGGCCGGTGAACTATCCGTATTTGCACCTTGCACTTCATTAGGTTGATAGCTCAGAGCCGCATCCAGGGTGCTGCTAGTTTGTGCAACAAAGTTAGCAATCGGTATATTTGGATGTGAACGTTGCTTGCGTCTAAACACGCCCCACAAATAGTATTTTCGACGAATCCCTGCAAGTTGAAGGTTTATTAAGTGTTTGAATACTACAGATATCTTGGTTCAGTGGGAAGCAAATAAAGACTTGGGAGGCAGAAATTCATCACTCACTCCAGTCTTTCTGTGGCAATTCACGAGATGAAAACATCAAGACCTCCAAGTCATCAATCGTTGTGCTCATTGCGAGATCATTTTCAATTGCCTCTTCCAACAGAGCATCATAAGCATTTTCATCACTTTAACACAGTATTATCAGACAAAGTTCCAGAACATCCAGATCATAATGTTCAATGAGTGAATTACAATAAGAAGTTACCTTTCAAGCTCGGGAAAGAGATACAGAGCAATACTGTTGTCTGTTGGTGGCGACCTCAGGAAACTCTTCGGCCATACATCACTCTTGGCCAGAATTTTCACATCAAGATTCATTGGAAGCCCCTTTGCTGCTTTAGCTGCCTTTTCACAGGCTTTGTCTGATATATGAGCTACGATATTTATACTGGTTTCACTTTCTCTATTGAAGAGAAAACATCCCCTACAGTTAAAATAAAGACAGTGAATAAAGAAATCTTTTTTTCTTTTGAATTCATAGAAGAATCCTAGTGATACTTTGTTTTCTTCTTTTGAAAACAACATAAAAAGTTTGCACCAAGAAGTTGGAGGAAGAGGGGTGGAGAGGCAATAGCAGAGAGAACTAATCGTCTAGAAAAGGAAATAAAGATCTAAGTGCTTGTGGCGATCACTGAAAAAGCCTTTTATAGGGAGGCAAATCTAAAGTGAGGTATGTGTTCTAAAGCGGTGGAAGTTAAAGTGTTACCTCCAAATGGGCTCAATAACTGGCTGTGCAGGCAAATAATTCGCAGATTCTAGTTCAGGTTCATTATATGAATTGTTGAGTGGAAAATAATGCTCATCAGAGAATGAAGAAGAAAATTTTCCACCAATTGCCCCACCCTCTCCCTCAGAATCACTGTCATCATCAAAAACGACAAACCTCCTCCTTGGCTTTCTCATATCTTGTTGTTTTCCAATTTTGGTAGGCGACGGAGCACTCTTTGGATCTTGCAGAGAAGAGTCACCTCTTAATTGAGCTCTTTCCACCATTCCACCTTCCTCTTTGTTCAATGTTGAACAACAAGTCTCCTGGTATTTTCCTACTAGTGGAGTGTTCCCTGCTTTCACTGATTCAATTGGCTGTTCAGAATAGCATACATCTCCACACTGTTCTACAGTGTCGTTGTTTTCCTTAGTTTCATGAAATGGAGGCTTCTCCTTTTGCAAAACTTGAAAAGGACTATGGGTAGAAGCTGATTGGACTGCTCCACTTGCGTCATGTTTAGCCTTATCTAATCTTTTAGCTTTTAGTTTACAACTGTTAAGCTTTCTTCTCCATTCCACTCGACCATCAATAGCACGAATCTTTCGCACGGTTATCCGCTCACTCTTTCTCAACCCTTCGACCTTAGCAACTTTGGGAGCACAATCCCAACATATCCAATCAATACTGTCATCATCAACGGAGAATTTTTCTAGGCAATAGCTGCAGAAGTAAAGAACAACAAAATGAAATACTCCAGCAGATTTAATAATCTTTTTCAGAGTCTCTAGTGTGATATTGAAGCAAATATAGGAACATTTAGATGCACATTGCAATATCAGCATGACAAATATGCAGACCAAATAGAGGTACATGTAGATGCGCATCCAATAACAGAAGGGAATATTCAGACCAAAAACATTCATCAGAATTTTTGCTAGACTCTGTGAAAGGGGAAAAGAAAACTTATGATCTTAGGAACGTGGAGCTAAGGATTACCCTATTTAGAAGAGAGTACAATGACTTTTAATCAGTTCTTAATTTGGCGTGACAGTACGGGTTATATTTTATAGTATCCAAAGGGTTGAAAGAAAGGAAAACCATAAACTCTACAACTGGCCTTGTTCACTACGAGAAAATACAACATTGTGATTTTCTATAAGCAGAATTTGGTAGGTAGAAACAAAGAATAAGCCACTCAATGAGATGGAAAATAATAAAAAAATAACATGAAACAAACATTTGCGGTCACAAAACTAGGCAAGAATTAGGCTGATGAGTAACTGCCCAAGAAAAACTATAATATCTGATATTAACCTATTTCAATTGCTTATATCCACGGGAAATATCTAGAATTTTTTTTTTTTTTGAGAAGGTAACATTTGTGTGTATCAATATATAACAGTGCATAGGTTGTACTATGTTGTACTGAAACCATATTTAAGGAAATATATAGAATATTGAATACTAATTTAGTGATGAAACATACTGGTGTACGGCAGACTCATGACACTTGAAGCAGTATATAAGAAGCTTGGCATCTCCTTCATCCCCACATGTGAGACAAACACTTCTCTGAGAAAGAAAAAGAAAACGTAAGTGAGCACTAAATTTGTAAAATCGATGAACAAGTGCTGATGAAGATATTCTTTTTTGATAACCACATTGGTGAATTTATCTTATTGTCCTCAAACAATTCTAATGTCAGAAACTTGAAGCTCCTAAATCTTGCACAAACCAAAGTGGCAAAATTTAAGTCCTAGGAATATGTCAAAAGGTTATCACATGAATTTATGAGATTCGACCAATAAGCCTACCTCGACAGGCAAGGGGGAGCAATACTATTATATCATAAATTATAGAAAAAGAGCATAACCCAACTTGTTTGAGATTGAGGCGTAATTCTTGTTGTTGTATAGAAATAGAGCATAAAATTAGTTTTAAAAACTCTAATCAACCCCAAATATAGATACACAGAGAAAGAACCCATACATGTTTGTACTCCCCTAATATTTTCTCACAGAAACTCTCTGTTTTAGAATCCAATATGCCAAAATGAAAATGAGATCTTTTATTTATGATCATTTTTGCCCCTTTCAAAAAATCAATCAATTAACACAAAATAAAAAAGAGGAAAATGGTGGTGAGTAATCCTTGAGACAAAGCATAAGCTTTTTCTTATAGCCTTATTTTGTTTGGCCCAAAGTTCAGGCCACTTTACACAAAACCAACTAAGAAACCAATTCTTCCTTGACATGAGACTTAGCATTAAGCAAACCACCCACTATAAAATGTAATTTAAAATCCTCCCCTGCCCCCATATTCTCCCTTAAATTACAAACAACAACAACAAACCCATTGTAATTTCACAAGTGGTGTCTGGGGAGGGTAATGTGTACGCAGAACTTACCCCTACCTTGTGAAGATAGAGAGACTGTTTCTGATAGACCCTCGGCTCAATGACATTCTCCCTTAAATTAAAAAAAAACAAAAAATTTCCTCCACTCTCCATTCACCCCTTCTTAGTTCCCACATCATATTTACGTGTTTTACAAAGTGGAGATGAAAAAGGAAAACATATGATGAGCACATTGCTTTCGAAAACGGATGCACAAAGTTTATAATCAAATGGGAAATCTGAAACTACAGAAGCAGAGACTGCAGAACTAACACACACACACACAGAGTCTATTCACCATTGTCTCTCAAACACCCAACAACCCAAAATCAAAATAAATTCAACCAAAAAAAAAAACAAAGAAACACTTTTACATGCATTTATCTTCAAAACCCTTCTTTGTTTGTGAGTAATTTATCAGTGAAATAGTTTAAACAAAGACATATAGGAAAAAAGGGATTCCTCAAAAACTTCAAAAAGCTTTAGGAATCAAAGGAGTAGGCATATGAAAAAAGGTAAAAAGAACGAGAGGGAGTTTATACCGAAGCAGAACCAGAACCAGAACCAGACCCGCATTTGGAAGAATCCATTATAGCTTACAAAAAGGAGAGTATGAATGAAAAAAGAGGGAATATGGAGAGAAAGTGGAGTGGAGCCAACATAAGAATATGCACAACCTTATGGGTCCACTAACAAGAATAATGGCCTGGTTCGGTTTGGATCGATTTTTCCTTAAAAAGAAACCAAACCAAGTAAATTGGTTTTTCTAATATTAGAATCAAACCAAACCAATTAAGTTGGTTTTTTATCGATTCGATTTATATCGGATTTTGTCGGTTTTTCGATTTTTTCTTAAATATAAGACATACGCTACCAAACACATATTCCGGCGATCACATTTTCAACGTAATAGTATCAAATCAATTTCCCTTTGAGAAATCTATTATTTACTAAAATATATTGACGATAATTCAATCAAATAGTGATGAATAATTTAAGGACTCAATTAAAAATATTTTTTTTAACATGAAATGGATTCTTACACTTAACAAAAGAAAACTACCGATCAAACAGAATATAAAGGTAAAAAACTGTACTAAAAGTGCAAACGATTAACATTCACCATTCAATTTTTAAAACTTTGTATAAAAACATACATATATATAGGCGTAATAATAAATTTGAAATAGCTACTCCTATAGACGATTTGGTTCGGATTTTTTCAGTTATTTTTTTATTAAAACCAAAACCAAACCAAATTTGATCGGTTTTTAAAATTCAAAACCAAAACCAAACCAAACCAAAAAGTATCAATTTTTTTGGTCGGTTTGGTTTGGTTTTCAGTTTGGTTCGATTTTTCGGATTTTTATGAACACCATTACAGAAGAATAACAGACTCTTCTACTAATTACTCATATTACTACTAGTTTGTATAATTACATAATTCACCATCAAAGGTTATGGTTAAGTGATAATTACTTCTTCCTTTTTAATCAAAGGTTTCGAGTTCAGGACCTGAATATGAAATCGTCTTTGTTAAAGAGCGTCCCTCAATGTTAGTCTTCGCAATGTATGTCATCACGTGAAAAACCAAAATAATAATAATAATAATAATAATAATAATAATAATAATTACACAATTCGATAAATTCAAATACTTATTTATTTGTCATAAGACTCCCAACAACAAGAGGAAATGATCGATTATATTTATATAACCTTGTAATTTCAACAAAAAGTTAGTCTTACAAATATATTTTGTGCTATTTTTTCAGTTTTATTGCAATAGTAGTTTTTATTTATTTCTTCTGAAGCGTATCATAGAAGTAAAATAACATTTGTAATAAACGGCAAAAATGAAATCTACAACCGAATTACTTAATTCATGTTTGTATGCATAATTGGTAATTACATAATGAGATATTTCTCATTTAAAAAAAGATATTAAGTGTCAAAAAATTTAAATGTAGCATATCAAGATGAACAGTTAAATAAGCTTTTATGTGTAAATTAGTACATATCCATTATTACAAGGTATTTCAGAAAAAATAATTTTGGTTGAAAATAATCAGATAGTAATTGAGTAACTGATATTGTAAATAAAAAAAGGTGTCTTTCGAAAAAATAATAACTTAATTTGTATAAAAAGACCTTTTATAAAAATTGTCAAATAGAGAAAAAGATATTTTTAGTCCTTGATTATTGCTCCGACTACTTGCTCCTGTTTCGATCATTTTGAAACAATGAATTTTACTCCCTCCCCCTTCGAACAATTTTACTTTATCTACTATGAACTTTGCATTTTTCTTAAGAAATAATAAATTAAATACATATTTTATTATAATACCCATAATAATATAACAATTCAAAAAGTCTTGATAAATAATTTGAGGAATGAGTAGTTAATGATAAAAGAAAAACAAAAAAATATTTTTTTTCTTAATTTTTTAAAATAGATAAATAAAAGTAAAAATATAATTTTAGTATAAAGAACAAGTGAAAGTGAACGAAAAGAATATTAAAACCATAATGATTTTCGAAGTAGTTTATGAATCTTAAAAATGAACTTGAAAATTTATGTTAGATTCATTCTTGATATTCGAAACTCATTCTTGGGTTTAACAAACTGTTAGTTGAGTACCCTTGCGAATTACTAAAGAACTTGGTTCTTTGTGTTATTCCTTAAATCTGAAGTAAAATAAAAATAATAACTTGTATGTGAAAAATTACCTTGCTCAAAAGGTGCAAAAACAACAATCTACTGTTGATTTTCAACTTCAATTCTACTAGAACAATGAACCAAATGTATCGATTACAAGACTATAACTCAATACTCTCCAGTACTCATACTAAAACTATTTGATTTACAAGTTATTTTACGTATTGTTGAATTGTTACCCATCATATTATATTGTATTGTTCCCAGAATACAATATTCGTTTTGATTGTTTATATAAAACTGATTGTATCGCATTGTTAAATCCATTGCTCCGAAACAATAAAAAGCCCTATTTTATGAAACAACCAAATCGGTGTGGTGAGATTGTTCTGTATTTTTCTTTCCAATTATGCCTACACTTAGTATTCTATATTTCAATTTTACCCTACTTCACCCAACTATGTACTTTGTCTCCAACCTTCTTAGGACAGCTTATCGGGCGGTTATTTACTCTTAACGGTTCGGCTTATCGATTATCGGCTTGTAAATGTATTAATCCGCTAATATAAGAATCGGTTTAGCTATTATCAGGCGGTTATAGAATGGTTATCAGTTTAGATTGTGCCTTTTTAATTAGTAAATAGTGTAAAAGCGGAAGTAAAAATCTAAGACACAAAGAGAGATAGCATTGCAGATCTGCACGAGTTCCAGCAGCAGCACGTTTGAGACCTTTCTTCAGTATAAAAACCATTCCAGTGAACAAGCTTGATACCATTGAAACAGGCTCAATACTTCTCACAATAATCTATCCAAATTTCTCTATTGAAATACACAAGAGAAGAACAATTCAAAAAAAACAAAAACAGAGGGGGTAAACTTAGAAGAAACAACATCCAAGAAAGAATAAATAAAGCAGCAGCTAGATACTCTATTAGCGGATATGAAGATACTTATAAGTAATGGCCTTCAAATATCCTGTCAAACAAAGTAAAAAGAAAAGGAATCAGATACTATTCTGCCTAAATACTAGTAGTATTTTGTATGAACTTTAGAATATCTTCTCAGCAAACTGATATAATCTTCAAGCTGTAATTAGATCTTAGTTGAATAAAGCTTGTACCATGTTGTCTTGAGAGTGAAGATAACTTCCACCAAGATAGTTTTTGACAGCCTTCTAAGCAAATCAGGTATTCGAACTTGATGAACAGAAATAGTGTGATGTGAAGGCAGGCAATAGAGGTTGCAAGAAAAGAAACTTACCATCTGCTGCTCTGGGTTCTGGCTATGGCGAGACAGCCAGAGGGAGAGCTGAGATGGCGAGACAACGAGTCGGGCAGTCGGTGAGCGACTGTCGAGGCGAGACGCTGGCCGATGTGTTGTGAATTGTTGTTGCTAAGAATTTTAGATGTAAGGACTTAGGGTTTCTAAAGTCTAAGAAGGTTTTTGGCTAAAAGCTTATAAGCTCGTCAAATTGGCGTATAAGCACCTTTTGGCTTATCTATGCGTTTGGTAAACACTCAAAGTGCTTATAAGCCAAAGCTAAAATCTGTCATAAGTCATAAGCTGGTCACCCCCAACTTATGGCTTTTCAGCTTATAAGCACTTTTAGTTTGACCAACACTTTTACTAGTTTATCCTTAATAATATTTTCTAATTCACAAAATACTTTTCCCAAAATAAATTTCTTGACTTTCTCTTCATTCCATATTCGTTATTAATTCTTTTCTTTACAATTTCTTTTTAACTTATAATCTTTTGAAAAAAATTCAAGGGTATTTTAGTCATTCTTACAAAAGAATAACTTATCAACAGTTTTTAATCAACACATCAACTGCTTATTATCAGTTTCAGCACTTTTATCCAAACACGTAAATGCTTATTTTAAAAATCAGTTTCAGCATTTAAAAAAACTTTTCAGCACTACAAGCTTATCAGTTATTTACAATCAGCTAATCCAAACGGGCTCTAAATGTCTAGTAATAGAGTAGTACTGGAAGTGAAAGTGTGGATGGGCTTTTTATTATTTTAATATACACATGGATACAAATAAAATATATATATATATATATTAACGGGTTAACGGATTATCCGTTAAGAAAATTGAATAATCTGTCCCCAAATCGATAAGCCGTTAAAAAAAATCAATCTGTTCCACATCCGTTAAACCGATAACCCGATTCCAATAAGCCATTAAGCCACTCTGTTCGATTTTTGGTTTCGATTCGGTTTTAAACACCCCTAGTCCTTCTGCAGTGCATTTTTTTGGTTAGTTTTCCCTCTTTTTTTTTCTGTATTTTTATCTCATCTATGATATTTGCAAACTTTTCGCTAATTTTAATTACATATATAATTTGCTTAGGTTTCTCCCATTCCAAACTACAAGTACTTCTTTTTCCAATGACCATAATTTATAATTCTCCTGATCGTGTTGCAATTATATCTAATTTTTGATATTTATCTTGTGTGAAGTAAATTTTTCTATATGTCCTGGTGCTTTAGCTATTATGGTAGAATGGTGATTCCCTGTGAGGCAGATGGGGAGGTCAAATAAATAAATCATTTTTATTAGTAGTTCTTAATAAGCATCGAATTTAAAATAACTGAGGGTATTTTAGTAAATATAGCAGTACAGTACAGTACAATACGGACAAACCAAACAATAAAGATCTATTAATATATAAAAGGAGAAGCAAATCCGTGAAATTATGCCAAGTGTCAAAACAAGATATCAACACCTGTCATGCTTTAGGACAAAACTTCAATACTTTTGGAGATTCAAAAAAAATATAAAATAGAAAAAAATTACATTATTTTAAATAATTAACAAGTTCAGTTATTAACATCATGGAATCCCACGTTTTGGGCAGTTACTTTTTAAAACTGGAAACTAAAAAAAAAAATTGCTCCAATTTCAAAAAGTAGACTCCCATATTTTTCATTAATTTTTATTTAATTTATTATAAACCTAAAAATTCATCAAAAAAATTTTGCCATTGAATTTAACATAGAAATAGTGAAAAAGCAATAAATAAATAAATAAATAAATAAGTAAAAATACTCCACGATTGATTGTACTCAAACGTAGGCTACAATATTCTAAACTTTAGTAACAAAAAAAAAACAATATTCTAAACTAACTCAAACACCGTAGAAAATTACAGAGGTAAAAAAAAAAACTTAAAAAAGACCCACGTTCTGGAGTATTCATTCGCACTTTTCCCTCATAAATGGTTTTCCTCCAATTTTTCTTAATCACTAACTTTGTTCAATGTGTGGGCTTGAAATTCTGTAATTTCACATCTCTTGATCAAGGTATCCGTAATGATTCTACTTTCGTGCACTCCGGAGTTCAATTTTGAAGTAAAATTTTGAATTGCTAAAAGTTTGTCGGGGACAACATTGTTAAACCATGTTTATAGATTCGAAATCATCGGTTCACAATTTCATCCAGAAAATGTGCTCTATTTTTATTTGAAAATGTGCACGTTCTGCATTTCAATTTTAATTTATTTACTTCTAAGTAGGTTTTGTTTGTTTTGTATTTTTGCAGTATTTTTCACAAAGAGGATATGTGGGATTTTTCTAATGTGATCGACGAAGGGAATATATATTCGGTAATAAAGTAAGTTCTATTTTGCCTATTTTCCCCTTTATTTATCCAATTTAAATATTATTCTTCTCATTCTGCTATAATTTTATATTAACAACATTTCTGGATCTTCTTCTATTTCTTCCTTAAGGCTAAGCTTTTTTCAGGCAATTCCTTTTCAAGAATCAAATTTTCTTTTCTGGCGGGCCCGTGCTCTATAGACTCCCAGTAATTGATTTTTCTTAAATTTTTTGCTTTATTTATCCCAGTAATTGTGCGTGTGTGGGTGTGTTTTTATGTATTTATTAACGGGTCATTTTAGAACTGAATTAAATATTTATTTTCGTTGACTAGAAAGATGATAAATATTTTGCAGTACAAGAGTGGAGCAAAAGTGCTCTGTTTGCGATATTTATTTTCATAATCTCCTAATAATGAAATTATAATGTCTTTCGATGCATTATGATAGTGGGAGGTTAACGTCGAGTCTCAATCTAACTATATATGCATAGGTGTGGGCACGCTAGATATAGTTATATGAATGTGCTCAATAGGATATAGTAGAAGCTTTACCCTCTTGTGGCCAAGCTCTTGAGGCAAAAGGTGAAAAATATGGCATCTTTCACATACCAAGTTTAAAAAAAATTCACATTATCATTTAATATCTCTGATTGGTAATATAAATATCCCTGGTTGCTAAAATTACTGTACTACACAGCAACAAACTGTCGCGAGGTAATTTTAAAGCATTTCTTTAGGACAAATATAAAGATGGCAAAAAAAGTCATAGATATTCAACTGTATATTCTTAGGTCATTCATAGTTCTCTTATCTTCGTATTTTGTTCTTTAAGATCTAAAATGAAAGATTTAGGATAAGTTCCTTTTGATGTCTAACAGAGTGCCGACTCAGTCTTATCCTTCTTCAACAAGTTGCAACCGTAATGATCTCTTTACTCTTTTATTAATCATAAAAACTATTCTTCTAAAACACATGACACAATTTTTCAGTTAAGAAATCTGGTGTGCATTTGGTCAGTAGTTATCATTCTATCTCTCTATATCATTTTTTGGTTAGAGGCCTTTTCACACTTTTCAGTATTTATTCTCCACTTGAAGATACACATGATGAGTTCATAAAGTTATGTATTGTTGAAGTCGCGACTAATGAGCAAGAAGCTCATTTAATTGGAATTTACTCAACTCAGGTAATATCTCTTTGTGAAATGTGTGCTTTTAAGGACCATAAAATGCTGATTGAAAATGCACATTTGTTTTCGTGCATCTAATTTTCTCTCTCAAGCTTACAGAGTCCATTACAAACACTTGCTTAACATTCCCAAACTGATAAGTTTGTCAAATCCTTATCCTTAAAGGAAAATCATGAAAAATCTTACAGCTTTTGGCATATAGTAGTAGCACAAAATATGATACAGCTATAAATTTAGAGAAAGTATGCAAAAGCTTTAGGATGAGACAAAAATTACCATATATTATAGTATTCATTCAGCATATTTGGTATGTATTTTGACTTCCTTTCTGTTAAAATAAAGTTGTATTGATTTTAAATTTTTCGGATACCCTTTTCGATTTGTTACAGGTGGAAGCTATTACAGTTGGCATAAGTCGAACACGCTTCTATTTTATTTCTTGATCTTGAGAAGCATGAGACATCAATTTCGTGATGGTCAAGAGCAAGAAACTAGAGCTGTCAAAGTAAATTTGGATCACATCAATTCTATAAGTAATTAATTTCTAACATTTTCGTTTCTTCATGCAGATAGGCAAAGGTTTATCTAAGAATGGTAAAGCCCAAAAATTTGCTTTACAGTATTGGCTAGAAGCTTTAAGTAAATTATGTATGCTATCTATCTTGATTTTCTCTTTGTCTGAAACACACAATGTGTGTCGATTATGTATGTAAATATATGAAGAGCAACAAGACCCAACATATATAACGAATGAATAACAAAATCAGGTTTCTTTCGTGCTTCTTTGTGTCCACCGTATTATTCAAGTAAAATTTTCTTTTTTTCATTTTATTTTTTTTTATTTCCCCCGCAACGCGCGGGTACGAATACTAGTGTTATTTAATAACAACAAACGATACAATCTATCCTGACGTTGTATCCATCAAAATGATACAATACAGTACAATAAAATACAATACAATACATTATAAAACGATGGGTAACAATGATCCAAACAAAGTGTTAACCTGCAAAGAAAATTATTACACCCCATATTTTCGTACATGAAAGTACACCATAAATAAATTGATGAAAGCTCGGAAATGAGATGTTACATCCCGCATTTTCGTACGTTAAAGTTTCGTCGTAATCGACATTAGCTCGGGAATGAGATTATTTTAAGGTGGTAAGTATTACACTATTTCAAAGAATTGATAAGTACATTCGTGAAGGTGAGAGGGTAAGCGAATCGAAGAAAATAAGTTCCGTCGAAGTTTGACAATTTGGGGATAAAATACGGTCCGAGTTATAATACCTGGTATTTATGGACTAGTGCCATACAATGTACCACATAGCCAGGATGGTAAGGTGTAAAATATATTAAAAGTGAGTAGTAATTTAAGTAAGTTAAGATAATTTTTAATTATATGGATAATTGGGTAATTAATAATTTTTGGTAGGAGATTAGCTAATTAATTATAATATTTGGATAAGTCAACCCCTCCCCCCCCCAAAGTGGAAGCCCAAAGGGACCTTGATGATGAGTCTTAACTCACACAAAAAAGGTGGCACATTTTGGAGGGGTTCCTTGCTAAGTCATCACCTAGTGGGGCCCACACCCACTAAGGTAAGACTTCTCAAATTCAACAAATTTCATAAAAGAATGATCAATTCACAAAAGAGAGTACGGTGCAATTCACAAAAGAGAGTACATCAATTCACAAGAATATGATCAA